TTGCCTCCCTGTTGGAAACCTCTCGTACCACTCTTACCTAGGTCCCTGCGGCTGACTCCTCGTCTGTCCAGATTTCTAGGCCTGAAATATCTGAAACAGGCATATGTGTAGAGACAGAAAGTAGATTAATGATTACTTAGGACTGGGAGGATGCAGGGGGGCATTTTGAGTTATTTGCTTAAGAGATACTGAGTTTCTGTAGAAATAGTGATGATAGTTGAACAACATGAAGGATACAGTATAAATAGGGTCACCGATTTGTACACTTAAAAATGATTGAAATGACAATTTTTTGTTATATATATTTTACCAAAATGAAAATTAAAGTTTCTCTGCCTAATCTCTCATCCTTGATACCAAGGTGAGATGCCTAGATGGATATGTTCATTGAAAACTTTGCTGCCTCTGATCCTTCATTTTAGCTTATTTTAGCAGAGGTGTTGGAAAGTGTTGAATTGTGTGCCAAACTGTTACCCAAACAGACAAGGTGTCTGCTGCAGCAGCCCCACACGTTAAATGAGGGTTGCTCTTCCTCCGGTACCTGATTCCATCACTGTTATCTGTCCCCCTTTCTATCAGAATAAGAATTTCTCAGAACTTTTCCTTCCCCATGGCAGTTTATCACAAAACGAAGGGCGGGGTGGTGGTGGGGGTACTTGGCTTTCTTGTAATCATCTGCTTTATCTATGATGAAGTTTAACAATACTAGAAATCAAATGTTTCTCTAGCCATATTATATTGATTGGTATGAAGAAATCCACTGTGCATTGAACTCAAAATATTGTATTACACATGGAAGATATAATAATATTTTGGAGAATATTTTATGGCCAGTTAAAAAATATATTATTGGGAGAAATAAACAAGAATAAACAAGAGAAGAAGGGGCAAATGGAGAGAATGATTGATAGAAAAGAGCTTAAGAGAGAGTGCTGCTGGGATGGACAGAAACAGAGAAGCCTCTTGGGGCATCCTGAATCCTATGAGCTGGAAGTTCATGACTCTGGACAACCCCCTGATGGCTTTGAGAGCATTTGCCCTCATAATCTGTATTGCTGACTTGAAATTTCTTGAAATTCTTAGGGTTCTCTAGTAAGCACAGTTCCTTGTGAAGAGGGAATTATTTTTATTGCCATTTTAAATTTAAGAGCTTTTTTTTAAGTTAAAACTTGTATTTATTTATTTTTGAATGATTTTCTAATTGGTTTGTTCATATATAAAGGAAGGAATCTAATTTTGAAAATTTTCTGAAAACATTAAGAAACTGATTATGATAACCAGTCTGGTTGGTATTTAACAATTGTTGTTGTTGTTAAGTGCCCTCGAGTCCTTTCCGACGCATAGCAACCCCATACAGAGCAGAACAAAACACTGCCCGATCCCACGCCAGCCCCACAATCCCTGCTATACTTGAGCCCATCATCACAGCCACCGTGTCAATCCATCTCGTTGAAGGCCTCTCCCTCTTTCGTCAACCCTCCACCCTACCAAGCATGACATCCTTCTCCAAGGAATGGTCTCTTACAACATGACCAAA